GACAATGCGACTTTCCACGAGGGTACGGTACAAGAAAGTCGAGGTGCTAGTCGACAGTGGCTCATCTCTCAATTTTATCAATGCCATGTTGACCCAAGAATTGGAGCTACCGGTGACCAGCATTACACCTTTTGATGTGAGAGTTGCTAGCGGCAAAATATTAAAGTGTACAAAGTGTTTTCGAGGGGTGCCCATCAACGTGCAAAATGAGACCTCAATGGTCGACCTTTATGTACTATCGCTGGTAGGGTCCGATGTGGTGCTCGGGGTCCAATAGCTGGAGAGTCTAGGTTCGATTGCCACTAATTACAAGGCTAGGACAATGGAGTTCCATTCGGGATAAAGAGTGGTCAAACTAAACACCGACACCGTCAATGACACCAAAGAGCCGAGAAGGTTTGAGGAGGAGAACTTGGAATAAATTATCCTTGAGGACAAGGATGTTCTCGAAGAGGGCGGGAATGATGAAGATCGACTTTTCGACCCGCCTAGATCGTCAAATAGGCAGCCAATTACCGAGCCAAAGGTGACAGGATCGTCAAATAGATCGTCAATGCTGCGCGAAGCAGCGCGCAGGCAGACCAAGCGCAACCTATCCAAACGACATGAGGATGCTGAAGACCGCGCAAGGCAGCACCAGCAAGATGAGCAACGACACTCGTATGTTAGGGGACAAGTTCGCGGGCAAGGAAGGAACTCACGACTTGGGGAAAATGTTCATGGGAGCAAATAAGCAAGGGGGCGCGAGACGTGCGGGAGTACGCGCGGGGACATGGGGCCAAGGTTATCACGGAGGGCTACGGCAAGCACGCGCGCAACTGGGAGCCCGCACAAGATTCTCAGGCAAGGCACAAGCGAGGCAGCATGACGCGCGATGCAGAGCGACCGGGAGACTCCTGCAGGGCGCGAATAGCTAGATCGAGATAGCTTGGAGAGCAAGTCTTCTAGAAGATTTGGGCTGATCTTAGATACCTATCATTATTATGTTTTCTAGTTTACATTAATAAACATGTGCCTAATTAAGTAGCATGTGCATAATTATTTATTTCCTTAGGGCTAGTATTTGATTCATATTAGGTTTAGTATTTCTAATTCTCACAGGCTTAGAATTTCTCTCCTATAAATAAGCCTATGTATTATTGTTATTATTCAGATTTGGAGTTAATAAAAAACCCAAACGTTAGTTCACCAATCTTGTGTTAGAATTCTTGTCGAGTTTTATCATAAAAATTGTGTAAGGCAAAAACTAAAAATCCGAGCTTTTCACAACTTATCGCGGAGAATCGAGGCATTGGGATGGGTTCGAACCAAACCAAAGAGTCAAGATACACGAACTTCATCAGCGCCACCGAGCGCATCTGTCGGTTCTCGGAGCTCCGCGATATTCTCGTGTGCCCGGGTTGTTGCGATCCTCGCGCCAGGACGACCTCGGCAGCAAGCTGCCAGGTGTCCGAGCATGCTCGCGCGGACCAATTGCACGTCCGCGGGTTCACGAGTCTGATCGGGTCGTCGAGTATCCGTTGGTCTCGTTGATCTCCCCGTTGATCCGCACATAACCACGATCAAAATAAATAAATAAAATTACAATTTTGATCCTAGACCCACAGATGGGTTTACATGTTTGTCTAAGAAAGCGAATAAATCTATCCAGTGTCCCACCGGGCGAGTAAATATTACAAGCATTCAACCATCATCCTCGACATGCCCGAGGCTTTAAAACATGCGATAAATTTAAACCAGTCACATCAAGCAATTAATCTCATAAGCCATAATAGTGGATTAAACTACTACTGCAAATCCGAGTTATGCATATATATAATTCAAATTATGGTTGCGCTTGAACACATATAATTCACGTAAGCCTTAAAAATTCAAACTTTGCACAAAAACCATTAAACGTGGGCTCTGATACCACTTGTTGGGATCTATGAGGATCGCCGTAACTGTGCAAGTTATAAATTTATCTACGAATGTAACCTATGCGCAGCAAATCTATAGGTTAGGTGGAAGACTTACGATTTAAAAATTTGCCGACTCTGAGACGTTTCTGATTTCTGTTGTTGAAGATCATTTGAACCTCAGAGTCCGTTGGATGGTCGGACTTGCCTCATTGGGATGTCGCGGGTTGCGTGCGTATGGTCCCCGAGAGCAATGGTTCGCCATCGATCACCGAAAAGCGATAGGTCGTGGATCTCGGCGTTGAGCGGGTCGCGTGAAGGTCGCGGGTCGTCGGCGTCGGGCGTTGTGAACTCGCAGGTCTCGGCGTCGGGCGCTGGGATGCAGCAGGTCATCACTGGGGCGCGATGATGTTGCAGGCTAGCAGCGGGTCGTTGGGACAGGTCGCTGGGAGCGCGTGGTGACAGGCGGTCGCACCGCTGGGGCGCTGGAACGTCTCGGGTCAGCAGCGATGACGTCGCAGTGGTGTTGGGCGACCAACGGTGGTCAGGTGTGCCCGGTCGACGGGTCAGGCGCTCGACTACCTGAAGAACTTCCTTTGAATTACCTAACACCTCTAGAACTTCCTTGGTGAGAAGGAGACTCTAGATATCTCTATGTTTCTTATGACATGGAAGACTAGAGAAGAGGTGTATTTATAGGCTTCAACAGGGACCCTAAGGAAGCATTAAATTGGGCTTGCAATATTTGGGTCTAACTGTGTGCCAAGCCTACTTAGCCCAAATATGAATAATACAGTCATTCCACTAAAGTAGTATTATTGAATTCTCACAATTTAATTCCCAAGTTACAATTTGAGCCCCACTTCTAAATTATTCGAATTATTTCCTCATGTTTAAGATGTAATGTCGGTCAATAATCGACTACTTGGTCCGAAGCTAGCACCGTTCAATGCATTATTGTTATGTCGGAATTTAATCCACCTGCAGAGTTTAACATGATAATCCTTTTGAACTCACTTTGGGACATTATCAAGCGTAAACTATGTGAAGTATATGGTGACCATAAATATAACAGAGCACCATGTATCACTACAAAAAACAGACAGTTATTGGTCCATATACAATAAACCTCACTTTGTTGAATCAAAGCAGTAACTACTACGTACATGTGCCTTTTTATATCTTACGGGTTAAGAGAACGCAATAATTAGTCGAGACCTAGTTCGTTTACAACGATCAGTATAAAACGAATTGCTCCTCTCTAGGATTCAGTCAATACACCAATGTGTACTAGTGTGAATAATCAGTCAAGACAGACTGTACCGTCCACACTACAACCGTTCTGATGCCTTGTTCAATTTCCATCTAAGTTGTGAAATTGTTTATGTTTCGCAAGTAACTAATAAATGATCTTCTATCCATCTGTGATGAACCATTTATCTAAATGCAAAGCAATAGAACAGAGAACTTTAATTGATCAAACATGAAATCTCAGTCAACATAAAGTGTGAATAACATCTAAAGCAAAGCTTTCAATATACACACTAACATAAAAGGGAGATACTTTTGGAACAAAAGGTTAGGGATGGTTCAGGCTTGTGGTAAGGACTCTTGGCTTGGAGGAGTTGGCTAGGTGCTAGGAAGTGTTTGGTCTTAGGTACTAGATATCAAGTAGGTGATGCTAAATCTATTCATATTTAGGACTCTCCTTTGTTACCAAATAACTTTTCTTTCAAACCTACTTGTATTTTTCAGGGGGATAGAGATAGAGTCTTGAGAGTCAGTGATTTCATTAGACAAAGGGGAAGGTGTGAGATAGAGAGCTCATTTTACATACTTTTCACCCCTTTGATGCAGATATTATTTTAAAGATTCCTCTCGGTCACCATGGGTGCAAGGATGTTTTGAGTTGGCATTGGAATAAGAATGGAAGGTTCTCAAACAAGGAAGTCTATGAGTTGATCAAGCAAGAGCAAGAAGAAACTGGAAGGAGGTAGGGCCAAGTAAAGATTCTAAGCTTTGAAGAAAATGTGGAGGACAACTTAGGGATTACCAATAAAAAACAAGATAACGAACTTCCTTTGGAGGTGTTGGCATGGGTTTGTGAGTACAAGAACTCAAATTCAGAATAGAGGGAGCCAATTGGATGTTTGTTGTGATATGTGTGGAGAGGAGGGAGAAGATCTTGATCATCTGTTGTTGCATTGTACTAGTGCTGCACTTAGCTGAAAATTGAAAATTAAGTGGGTCTGGTGGAACTTGTTGGAGAATAAAATGATAAGCTTTCAGAGATGGTGGTCTGACATTTGCACTATCAAAGAGGGGTATTTTAAAACTGCTAGGCCAAGTTTAAGTGCTTTTAATTTGTGGAGAATTTGGAAGGCTAGAAACTCGTGGGTCTTCAACAAGGAAAGATGGCTCGAGAAGATATTGTGGAGGGGGCAAGTGAAGAAAGGCAAGAATTCATCTTAGTTTCTGGTGAGTGGGATCAGATTGATAGGAGTGTTCAAAATCCAATCTCTTCTCAGGTAGAAAACTTTTCAAGAAGGTAGGACAGGTGTGTCTTTCTGTCAGTGCTTGCTTTCTACTGGAGGGAAAATTGGATTGGGTTGTGTGGCTGAGAAGGATGGTCAAGAGATGCACAGTTGGTCTTCATATCTGGTAGCTGACTCTGAGGAAGTCTACCTGTTGGCAGTGAGGTGGAGTTTTGAGATGGCAAAGGAGCTTGAATCGGTAACTTCACTAGTTGTATTTTTTATCAAAGATTGGCTCATCGAAGAAGAAGAAAAAAAAAAAAGTGTTTTGCTCGAGGGTAAGTTCCATTGTTAGCGACCTTTTTTGGCTTAGTAGATTCTTTTTTGGTTGTAATTTTATATTTGATCTGGGAGCTTGCAGCTCTAGTTTAGTTTTAGCTAGGATTGCGGCTAAGGGGATGTAAAAGTTTTTACTTCCCATTGGATACTAGCCTGGGTGTGTTGACTGCGGGGTAGTATTTGTAACTTCCAGTTGGTTGTTCGATTGTAAACGTTTATTTGAGTTTTTATGAACGTTTGTTATTTGCCACTGGACAAAAAAACAATAAAAAAAAAAAAAAAANAAAAATTGAGCAACATAATAAGAAATCAATAGATCTTAAAGCTGACACAAAGAGTTCACAACTGTAAGCACAAAATGCTTACAGGAAAACACAAACCCACAAAAGTTTACAGGTTTAAGCCGATTTCAAGAATGGGACAAATTGTCTATGATATTCTTTTATGGAGCCGACTATATGGATGGTAAAGGCCTCGTCTTCCGGATAATAAGCAATAGGATCAGATAACAAAGTAGCAGGAAAATTAAGCACACCTTCGAGAGTTGCATGCAGACAATAAGCTGAATATGTCAAGTGATATCCGCCTTCTTGGACAATTAAGACCCGCCCGCCACAATGTTTGTCTGCCAATTCACGTATTATCCGCCCGATTTTTCTATAGCCTTCCATTGTCAGGCATTGTCTTCCATTCGGATCAAACTGAGACCAGACAAAAAAATAAAAAAACAAAGCTGAATTTTCAAATTTATTGAGTCATTAATCAAAAGATTGTCCTTCCATAATTTTTCGAGTTTTACTTCAGAGTGGCATTCTAACATATGATGAGAGAACTGATTCATGAAATAACCAGAATCATAACATCCAATTTTTAACAAGAGCATAACAATTTTGCACAAGTAGCAACAAAACAATGGTAACTTCATATAGACAAGAAAACAACTAACTGAGAGAGGAAAAAAAGAATCAAGATGACATCTATGAATTCTTGATTTATTCATTATTAATTTTTGCTAATGAATGAAGAAGGGAAATTGTAAAGCTTTTCTCCAATTCAGAAACTTTTCTTAAAAAAAGCCCAAATTCAATTCCTCAAAGATTTACACAACCAAACAACTTTGTCCAACTCACCGCACTAGAATCTTGCCCGATGACAAAAACCATGAAATCAGGTCCAAATTTCTCAACAGCCGGTACAACTAGTTCGTTCATAGCATATGCATACCCTCTGTCCCCAGTCCCATTCGGCAAAGGCAAATTCAGATTATACCCGAACCCTTCTTCTTCCCCGAGTTCGCTCATAATCCCAGTCTGCGGGTGAGAAGTGCCCCACGACCCATGCTTCATATGAATCGAAATAGTGAGGACTTTATCAGACTTATAGAAGCCCTCAGCTGTCCCATTCCCATAATGCACATCGATATCAATAACAACTACTTTACGAACAAGGCCTGAATTTAAGGCTGATTGGACAGCAAGGCCTGCGTTGTTAAGGAAGCAATAGCCATCAGCTTGGCTTGGCTGGGCGTGGTGACCTGGCGGACGGACGAGGGCATAGGCAATTCTGCTTTTCCCGTCGAGAATGTGTCGCATTGCGGAAATAGTTGTACCTGCTGCAATAAGTGCGGCGCCCCATGAACCGGGGTTAAGGAATGTGCCGGAACAGATTGTCCTTTGGTCGTGATTGTGGGTATTTCTGTCTGCGTCGATTAGCTCGTTTATGTATTCTGAGGAATTCAGATGTAGAAAAGGTTTGTCGAATGTTAACCTGAATGTCGAGGAAAAATAAAATGATCTTCTTATGTAGGTTNTTTAAAAATCGAATAATGGAATTGAGCTAGTGATCAGCATAAATGAGTAAGAAGACATGTACACATTCCTAAAAGGTACAAGCTTGAATAAGACACTAACCTTAAGGAACTATGAAAAATAACTGAGCTCCAGAGCTTGCAGTTGCTGAATAGATTTATTTACACATACCCAAGCCAATGAGGGCATTGAAGCTCTTTACAGACATTTCAGTGAGTCTTCTTTTGGTTGCAAGATCAAAATTCCCGTATTCCAGTCAACAATGTTGATGTGTGCAAACTCTTCTTACTTTTTTAGACCATAATGTCTTCGAACTTATATATGTCTATCTGTAGTATGGGACTTTTTGTAGACTGACTAAAGGAAAGGAAGAGGAAGCAGAACTTTCACTGAAAACATTCTCATTTTAGTCCTTTACCCATTTAATCAAAACTGAGAAGATTTTACGGATTTTTAGCTTCATTTACGCTTCTCAACTATGTTTGAGCTGTTGCCGCAGCACGAATGGATCTCCAACAAGCAGAATTTATGGTGCAATATTTTTTATTTTTTTATTTTGTGCAATTAATGTTCTAACTGCAGGAACCAGAGGAAAAAGAAAAAGGCAACCAATAATCAAATAATGAAAATCAAAATTTTATTACACCTTGAGTGTGGAAAGTGAGCAATTCAGAGATGAGGGCAGATCTTCCTTGATGCCAGGAGACGAAAGGAGAGATGGGGCCCCGTTTCAGTATGGAAACCATGTTCCTGACCCGGTCCGAATTCTCCGGGTGGTTCTCCAGCACATCGAGAAAACCCGGATCCATGCCCGTATCAAATACGCCCCGACCCGTGTCGTGTTCGAGCATACCCTCGTGCCAGAAGACGTGCAGCCGGTCATTTTCGGCTGCTGGTTTTGGGTCTGGAGCCCAAGGGGATGGTGTATCAGCAGAGGATTCCGCCATGGTTGGGGAGTGAAGAAAATTGCAGGTCCACGGGGCTTTCTTAATTTGGGGTTATATTATAATTTTGATAGATAAATTTATTTAGATAAATAATTAANATAGCAGATTATATTAGCTAATTTGACCAACGGATTGCATTAGCGGTTTTAAATAAGTGTTTGGTAAATAGCTGAAAGCTTATAGCTGTTTTTTTTTTTTTCCAACGGCATAAACATACTCATATAAAAGGCCAAAAGGCAATGTATAACAGACGAGCCCGAAACCGGGAAATGGGAGGTTACACACACAAATAATGTAACCTAAACGAATACCAACTAGCAAAGCTAGAACAACCAGCACACTACAATACCAAACCAAACTAAAACCACAACAAAACACAGACAGAAAATAAAAGTCCCCACCAGGGTAATATCCAAGTGTAAACTCCCAAGAAATTTAATTGTTATTTCTAATATGTAGAAATATATATTTTTTTAATATGAAAGTCAAATTGAAAATGTTAAATAAAGATTAATATGACAAATTTCATATAAAAACAGGATAATAAATAATAAGATATTAATATTTAAATTATATTTATAATATTCAAGTGTTTTAATTTCAAAAAATCTTATATATATGAATAAAATTCTAAATTTATATGTACAGTAGAAAACTGATATGAATATAATAAAAATTAAAATACAAAATTATGAATCTTAAAATTTGATAATTAAATTTTACAGTCTTTGTTAGTTTACTTTCTCAGTGGACAACTATATGAGCGAGTATTGCAAAAAAGAATTATATCGTAATACATTTCATAAAAATTAAATAGAGTTTGACATTGTGAAAATTGAAGAGAGAAAAATATCTGCCCAATCGATTATTTTCATAGAATGGAAAATCTGTTACACATATACGAAGAAGACGACTTATTTATATCCAATTCTCATGCACAACCTATCAACACGACGTTGTATCACTGTATTTCTATACTAACACAAAACGAAGTCGTGCTCTAAGAAAATGTAACATTAAAACACAAACGCACTTATACGCGACTTCCTGCTAATAGAAAAAAAGGAAAATATGAATAAAAAACATAACATTGTCATCATTCATCTTTCTCTTGATCATTCTCAGCTTGATACATGCTGAGAGCAGGTTGATACATGCTCAACTTGGATAGCAAAACGGCTTTGCTTCCTTAGTAAAATCTTGGTAAAAAGATCTGCAAGTTGTAGCCATGAAGACAGATGCATAGACAATACAAAATCGTATTTATACTTATCTCACAAAGTGACAATCAATCTCTAGGTGTTTTGCCCGCTCATGAAACACTGGATTAACCGATATATATAGTGTCCCCTTGTTGTCACACCAAAGTAGAATAGGACAGTTAACAGAAATATGAAAAATACTTGAGAATATACGCAATCCACATCAACTCATAAATTGCAGAACTCATGGCACGATATTCGGCCTCAGTTGAGGACCGGGACGTTTTGCTGCTTCTTGGTCTTCTAGGAAATAAGTGATCCTCCTAAGAAAACACAAAACCTAGTAACTTACCTTTCAGTGTCTTTGCAAGTTGCCCAATCCGCATCACATTATGCACGAAGTTCAAAATGACTGCTTTGATGAAAGAATAGACCATGGAGGAAGTTCCTTCAAATATCTCATGACATGCATAGTTGCATCCCAGTGAGAAGAATGTGGTGAACCAACAAACTGACTTAGTTGTTGGACTGCGTAGGTAATGTCAGGTCTGGTGAGATTGAGATACAAAAGCCTAGCAATGCTTCTCCTATATTGATCCGGTTGTGACACAAGTGAACCATCCTCAGACTACAACTAAAGCCCACAAGGTAAAGATGTAATCACTGGATTACAACCCAACATCCCTATATCACCAAGCAAATCCAATACATACATCCTTGGGAAAAGTGTAGTTCCTTGTTGTGTTCTAGCCACCTCAACCCCCAAGAAGTACTTAGTTGCACCCAAATCATTCAATGGTGTTAGCATTGTTTAGAAAATGTTTGAACTCACACACCAGATCATCATTGTTGCTAGTGAGTAGAACATCATCCACAGAGACAAGAATGGCCATAAAATCATGATTTATGTGCAAAATAAACAAGCATTGATCATGTGGAGACTGAGTCATACCAAAAACTGAGAGCTTATCACTCAACTCTTTATTCCACTCACTATAAGCTTGTTTGAGGCCATATAAGCCCTTATTTGGCTTACAAACTTCTCCTTGTTGCCCTTTGTGATATGCTTGTGGTGGTAACGTATAGACCTCTACAGTAAGATTTCCATGAAGAAAGGCCTTGCCAATATCAACCTGATGGAGATTTCACTTTTTCACTATAGCAATGCCTGTGAATATTCTCTCTATGTAAAGCTTTGCTACAGGAGGAAACATGTCAAAGAAATCTATCCCCTCTTGTTTATTATACCCTTTGGAAACTAACCTTGCCTTGTATCTATCCACTGTCCCATCGGATTTCCTCTTGATCTTGTAAACCCATTTGGAACTTGTTGTTTTCTTTCCTACATGTAAAGTAGGTAGCTCCCAAGTGTTCTTTTTCTCCAACGCTTTCAACTCATTGTTCATCACTGCAACCCAAGTTGGGTGCTTTCTCTCTATAATGTGTTGGTTCCTTATTAATAGAAACATTAGACATGAAAGCCAAATGAACTGGTTCATTGACATTACCACACACATAATCAATATGACAAATGGGTGGTTTTCTGACCCTACCACCTCTCCTTAGTTTATGCTCTTATTCTTCTTCATGATGTAAGGATGACTCATCATGTTCTAATTGTGAAATGTCCTCATTATCATAGTCTGGTATATTCTGTGGCAATGTGCTTTTCTTCATTACAGACTAGTACACAAAGGGATGGACATCTATAAGAAAAGTCACATCTCTACTGATAAGTATTGTTCAAACTCCATATCAAAAAACTGATAACCTTTCTTTCCTACTGCATAACCCAAAAACAGACACCTATTTCCTATGGAATGAAACTTAGACTTCATAGGATGTATATTAGCTACATATGTCAAACAACCAAATGGCTTCAATCTGCCATAATCTGGAACTTCTCCATGCAGCCTCTCATAAAATATTTTTAGTCTAATAATTGAGTAGGAACTTGATTGATAACAAAGGCAGCTGCAAGGACTGAAAAAGGCCAAAATTTCAAATGCATTTTTTCTTGGAATAACAATGCCCTTCCCACTTCCAACAAGTGTTTGTGCTTTCTCTCTACTACTCCATTTAATTTTGTTGTGGAGAGTACGCACAACTAGTTTCATGCAAAATTCCCTTAGAATTAAGAATCCCTTGCAGTTCTTTATCAATAAACTCTCGTCCATTATTTGTTCTTATCCTCTTCACTTTGTGTATGAACTGTGTTTTATCCATAGAGATGAAGTTCCTTATCAATTTTTTTGCTTTGGATTTATGTACCATTAGAAAAACCCATAAACATCTACTATAGTCGTCCACTATAGTAAAAAAAATATGGAATACGGACCATTGATTCTTCTCTGCAAGGTCCCCATATGTCTATATAGAGTAGCTCAAAGCAACAATAAGCCTCTATATTGCTTCTAGAAAATCAGGGCTTATGATGCTTGGATTTAAAACATATGTCACAATAATGTAGCACCCTTTCAGTGTCCTTATTACACTCTCGTTTCAAAAAATTAAGGTGTCTGAGTGCTGAAAATAAAGCGTGTCCAAGGTGTATGTGCCGAGTCTCAACTAATAGATTACCTCATTTTGTATTGTCCTTTGCCTCTTAGCTGTAAGTATCATAGAGTAAGCCTTATTGATTGATGGCAAAGGGTGAATTAACATAATATGGTTCTTTATATGATCATAAGTATTATTAAGTCCATAAGAAATTGTATCAGCTTGGTTTCAGATTCATGTTGAGCATTCAATTTACCCTTTCCACAATTGCAAACTTTCATTGGAACAATACGCATATTCATCCCATAACTTCTTCAATTTATTGAAATATCCCATGCCTATCTTGTTTCTCTAATTCAAATTCAAGATTTTCTTTGTTTCTTGTATCTCACTCGACCATTGTTTCCCCAAATCATTGAGAAATATCTTCCCACAACTCCTTAGCCGTATTCGCATATATAAAGGATTCAGCTCTATCTTTCGTCAATTAAGAATCCAAGACAATACCATCCAATTTACCTTTTTCCATGTTGCATAACTATCATTTTCCTTATCCAATTTAGTAAATTCACCATTTATAAACGAGCTTTGTTTTTTCACCTAAGGCTATAATTATCGATCGATTCCATGACAAAAAATTGTTTCCAGATAGTGGATGTGTGACCAAAACCATACTAGGATGATCAGAACCATGAAGGTTAAAGTGATAGTGCTTCACATCCACCATTGTTGAGTTGTGCATTTCTAGAAAACAACGTAGAGCTTATATGGATCAGATCCAGCTTCCTTGATGCAAATTGAGTTGAACCGGGCTCAAATTTGGTTCACCAGGCTCACTTGCTTTGGATACCATATGAAAATTGAAGAGAGAAAAATATATGCCCAATCGATTATTTTCATAGAATCCGAAATATGTTGCATACGAAGAAGACAACCTATTTATATCCAATTCTCATGCACAACCGATCAACACGGAAGGGTCGATGCTCCCCACATGGACACTGCCTCCATTCCTTTTGGGCCATGATATGCACACACATACACACACCCACATGAGTGTGTGTGAGATCAATGATCAAAACATGTAAAGGGGTAGTGCCCATAGAGGTATCAACATGACGTTGTAGCACTCTATTTTCATATTAACACAAAACGACGTCACTCATTAAATAAAATGTAACACTAAAACACAAACACACTTATACTAACTAGTGCGACTTNAAAAAAAAAAAAGAAAAAGAAACAGAAACATAACATTATCATCCTTCATCTTCTTCTTGATCATTCTAGCTCCTTTATTCTCTAATAACATAGGTCATAATTTTATTTTTTTATCACTTTTAAAATCAATAACTATAAAAAATCCAAAAATACAACATTAATTATTATTTCATTTTTATGTAGTGGCCTAAAAATATAACATTAATTAGGGAAGAGTATGATGAATACATTTCCCAGGACATCTATTTCTTTGTCCACACAGATTTTTTCTGCGCTACCATCAACACCAATTTGAATTTTTTTTGCAAATTCACGTAGCCATAATTTATAAGTTTTCCTACAAAAAAGATCCATCTCATCTTATATAAATCCACATAATAGATTAATTCATTACATCCCCAAAACCTAATATACATCAGTAGATCAAGAAGCTGCTACATTTCCTTTTCTACCCCCTTTCATCACTCTGGAAAAACTAGAGTACCTCACATAATTCTACCCACATTCACAGCAGCAAAATACAAAGCATATTAACACAATCTGTCGACACTTACGAGAGGGAGAGTAATAGGAATAGCAGCCCAACAAATATCCAATAACAAGTTCTAAAGCAATCATGACAAACATGTAATCCTAGTCAGCGGACATCTCGTGTTGCTCGGCTTCATTAACATATGACGGAGGCCGCTTGGTGACAATCTTGAACCATCACATTTTCAGTTTGAACAGTCGACTTGGAAAAACCATGTTTGGGATTTTGGTCTAAGAGACGAACTAACGAGAGGAAGATTTCTAACCTTGTCACATTGTGGTTAGCCTGTTTATAACAAAGTTAACAGTTTATTTCCAAACCTTACCATAAATAAACAGTTTATAAAGCTCATTTTCTTATAAACAATATTACCTCCACAGTGAAGTGAGCCCAGACTTTGCCATCTCGATTTTCGATGAGCCCCTTCAAAATGGATAACCCAAGTCCCCTGATTATACCAGCTATTTCCAAAAACGAATCCTTTTCTTCACAAACCATCTGCCGTACATGGAAAATCGTGTGAAATGAAACAGTAATTTAGTCATTTGCATATAAAACACATAATAGGAAATTTTCACTGTAATTTTGGGGGGGAAAAAAATTACCTCGACAAGCATTTGATGGGGTTGTTGACTTATATCCTCAACTATGATTGGGCAAATCGTTGATTGTGAACCCACTTCATAGGCCCATGTAACTCCTCCAGTATTATCTCTCAAATGCGAACCGCCATCTTTGCTGATAATCTGAAACTCAAACCAACCAGAATTTTTTTGGATTATTTTCGATTTTTGGAAAAATAAACTAAAAGCCTATAACTATGGGGTTAGCATAATTCCTAAAAAATCCAGTAGTCATGCAAAATAAAAATATTTGCATAAGGTGTTCAAAAACACCCCCTAGAGGTTTATATTATACAAAAATATGAATCCCCTTCTAGGGGATACATGTAAGATGGAAAAGTAAATGTTGATATAATCTCTAACTTTGAAATAACATTTATTTTCTTTTCTTTTCGATTCCTTTCCTTTTTTATATTTTATTCGCAATTAAAATTGAGCTCAAGGTTTTTGTATTTATATAACCCGTCTGTTTTCACACCTTTGATTCTGCAGTTTGCTTCAGCTTGTCTGCATGCTTGGTGACACCTTGCAGGAAAAGCATATGCTTGATCGTACGTTGCAGAAGGCAATCAATGCTACACTGTTAAAAATAAACAAATAAAACATGCGTAAGAAACATTGCAAATTATCTCATCAATAAATTAATAATAAAACTTGTAAAAATAGGTGAGTTACCTTTGCACCATTGGGAACAATTTCCCTTAATTCCTTCACCCGATCTTGGATCATCTGCCGATCTCTTGGCCTTGGCCTCGGGTTTTCGCCCGGTTTACACCTCTTACGACTAACTTTGCTGCTCACATTTGGTTTAAAACTCTCATTCTGTTTCGAACTGAACCCCTTTGCAGCCAATGAATCATAAACACAACTCCCCTGTGAATAAGTACTTGAAACCTCTTTTCCGTTATAATTCGAAATGCCAAACAATTCCCCTTTAGCGTGATCGAAATTCCCAAAAAGTCCTTGAGGGAACAAAGCCTTTGAAGCAGAGGAGCCACTAATATTGGTCAGACTCGACATACAAGAAACACTCTCATCTAAGCTCCTGTTAGATTTGCCTTTGGAGACCATGGCCTCTTGAAGATGGCTATTTAACATCTTTTCCTTAAAATCGGTACCTAAGGCTTCGAACAAGCCATCTTCACACTGGTCAACGGCATCATGGAAATTCAACACTTCGGAAAATTTTGGATCTTTAAGGCCAATTGTGGCTAAGCCCTTTTCAGCCACACGAGTGTTCATAGAAGAAGATTGTAGATTTGTCCATGCATTGAAATTATTAGAAACTCCGTTTGTGAACTGGTTTGGTGAGGTAATATCATTGCCAAACCCGGAGGTTTGAGGCAAGTATTCGGGGGAGATGAAACTGTCGGCCGAGTAAGAAGAAGTACTGATAAGATTCGATCTGAGAGACAAAAGCCCATGCACGAGTTCTTTTGCTTCATGGTTTTCAGATTGCATTACGCCCGGTATATGTCCCAATTCGAGTATTAATGATGTCACGTCTTTAACAAATCCAATATTCTCTGGGATCTGAGATATTGCAATATTATAGCATCACTAACTTTGCGTATTAAAGAAATAGTTCTAGAGGAATCAGTTAATGGAAGTAACTTACAGCCACATGTGAACCAAATTGGACTACACCATGAGGAAGAACAGGAATAATGGTGACTGTCTGATCATGAGAAAGGGGAAAAGGAAAAAAAAAAAATAAAAAAAAATCAGTAAATAAAAAAACCAAATCGGGGGACATTAGAAGCAAAAATAGAGAAAATCCCTTATACCTGCATGCCAGCTGAAAATTGTTGAAGGGCCTCTTTCAGAACCTGGAACATCAACCAAACATAAAAGCTTAATTCATGTTGTGGCTGTGATGGAAAATTACATTCATTTTGTTATAGAATATCAATTAAACATTTAAAGCTAACAATGATCTTCATCACGCATGCCAAACAAAATTTGGCAATTTACTTTTATATAAGATAAACGGATTAAACTTAACATGAAATAAGCTTTGACGACCAACGATATAATTGAAAATAATAACTTAAGCTCAANATGAAAAAAAAAAGCCCCTAGACATACCTCTAGTGACTGGGTTTCTCCACAATAATTCTCAGACAATATCCATTGATAGTTTCCAGTAAATGCAACCCTTCCAACCAATCTGCGGAAAAAAAATAGAGGGAACGAAATTATTTTTATCTTTAGTACAAGCCCCCCAAGGAAAATACAAAGTCAATATAATCTTTAACTTGCTTACCCTTCTCCAACAACTTTCACATTACCATCAGCCATCATCTTGTTCACAAGAATGTGCACCTTTTCCCTTGCTGGAAGAGCAGGCCGTAAATTAAGACTTTCAGATTGAACAGAAGAATTATTGTAATCCTGAAAACTGATATCTAGATTCCCTTTATCAGAAAATCCCGTAAGGCTGTCAAAAGATGATGCCGCTTCATAATAACATTCTTCCCAGATTAACAGACTGCAAAAGTTAAATTTAGTTCAAATATGTTAGAATCTCAGACACACACACACTAGTGTAACATATTCATACAAGCAGAACTTGAGGTGAAACAGATCAAGAAAGGGGCCAGAAAAATCCTAAGAAGGTAGTTACTACTGACAAGAAGGTAAGACAAAGGACAACATCAGAAATGAACAACCACATGTGCAGGGAAATCCTTTTCTCAGTCAGAGTAAGACAGATCTATTGCACTCATTCCCTGAGATTCTCCAAGACAAACTGAATGCACCAACAAAAAAAATCCAAAGTAGGAGAAAGAATATCAAGGTTAAATATAAATGAATAAACAGAAAGGAATGCAACAAGTAAACTTATGTTGGATAAGAATAAAACTTGGCAACTTATTTAAGATGGAACAACTTCACAGTGGAAAGTGGAAAGGTTGAAACAAATAGTTATGGAGTATGGTATACACAATCCTCTTGATCCGATAAAGAGGTTGAACTTGATATGCTTGTTGCACTTGGCCAATTATTTCACTATTAAATTTTTTTTAAAAAAAAAGTGTATGTATATATTGAAACATACGTTTTCTCCATAGTCAGGTGGTCACCACAAAATTCATGGAGAGAGAGAGAGAGACAGAGACCACAGACATCATCCAAAAGCAACTAAACGAAAAGAAATCATGAACAGTCAACATTTTGTTTGAAGTCCAGAATTGAACAGAAAGCACACCATGAACTGCCACCACACACTTCATAGCACCATAATAATACTAAGAACACTTAACAACAAAAGAAAAAGAAGGAGAAAAATAAAGGAATACAATGTGGAACATCTACTTACTTTGGATTTTGGCAGCCCTTCTTCCAGAACACAGCATAAGACCACTGGTTGACTCCACAAAGAGTCTTCAAAGCCTCTTTCAGCAAGTAACCCATTGCAAATTATTTGATGGGCGTAGCAGAAAATATGAATATTCCTGGTTTTATATCTAAAGACGAAAAAATACGCCCAAAAGATTCACTTTGGGGACCTGACAACAACAGAGGAATATCACAAGATTTATTATTCCTCTCAAAGGGGAAACCTTCAGTTCTTTTTCCCCTATTTTTCTCTTTGTTTCTTTTCCTTGTTTTCCCTTGTATAGCCTAACTTCCTCGGCAAGACCCACGTCCTGCTTGTTTCGTTCTCAAACCACCACTCCTTTTCCTCTCTGGATCTAAACTCCCTGCAACCAATATGTTCTTGCAATCCATTCCTCGCAAGGATAAAGAAAAATAGAGAGAACGAAAGATGAAGAGAAAATAATTTCTCAGCTAAAAAGAAGAAATTGGGACAGTCCCTACACTATTCCACAAGCTTTCAGCTCGCAGTTAACAGCAACAAACACTTTCTCCATCTCAAATACAGTGGAAAATAAAAGAGGAAAAATCTTGGAACAAATATTGGTCAGTTTTTCGAGTAAAGAAGAAAGGGGAACTAGAAAAGATCGGAGCTTTATGTCGTTTTAAGCTGAAGAACGCTACTCTGAGTGCGTTTAGTTTTCTGGGCTCTCTATATCTGTTTTGTTTTTTATTCCTTTTCTGTTTTTATTTTTCTTCTTGCTGAGGCTGAATGAGGTTTTTAAGTACGAATGAGACTGCTTTTTGGCAGAAGAGGTCGAGCGGGGGGTGTGGGCTAAAATGCGCCGTGATTATTGTGAATCTAATGAGACGAGGAGCGGCGAGAAAATGGGTCTGGAGTTGCAGTGAAATTACGGTGGCTGCCACCTCGGAGTGGGGGTGTCGGCTTTTTCTGGTTTTATTCAACTAGAGTTTGGGACCCTTCAAAAGAATCTTTTGGAATTTGATTTCACCATTTCAGTCCAGAGCTCTTTATCCTTTTGAAATTTCCACAATAAAAAAAAAAAGAAAAAATAAATAAATACAAAAAGGCTTTTCGCGCTGCTCGAAAATAAAATATTTTGTACAAAAGTTTGTAATTTTAGCTTTTCCCGGAGTAGATGATAATGAGCATCATGGAAAAAAAAAATTATCAAATATATATTGAGAAATATAGGTTGTCGAGTCTTCTCCTAGATGTGGATTGAACCGGTAGAAGTGGGTTCCGATCTGTCTGTACCGCCATGAACACCTGTAGAACTCAACGCCAGAAAAGTTTCCGGCGAAGAGCCTCCGATGCTTAAGTTAATATCAGGAAGATGATGGTGGTGCGCTGTAAGATGAGAGAACTATAAAATATATGGAGAATGTATAGTTGTGGAGAATGTATAGTTGTGATTTTGTGATACCGAGCCCCTTTTATAGGGGAAATACCTACCCGAAATGTCTTACCCGAGTGCCCGCGGTCATCCAGCTCGATTGCTCGAATCTTTAGTGCTTATTCATATCCTAATAATTTCTTAGTCAGATCCTAGTCATCTTAAGATTCCATCTTATCCCCTTAAGATTCATCTTTATCTCTTAAGCTTACGGAATATCGAAATATGGCCTCCATTGACACATACCTCGAGTTGCAAGGTGAGTGAGGTTGACCTCGAGATGAGGGAGGTTGACTGGAATCCTTCGTAGAGATGAGCGAAGCCACTATGATAAGATCGTCATCTTCCTAGTCATTGTCTCCAGATCATCGTCGAGATCCTTGAGTTACTTGTCCCTTCGCCCGAATCCAGCCGTTCTATGGTTAGGTCCACCTCCCTAATCGTTATCTCATAAGTCGATGTCGACTTCCTATAGTAGTCGTCTCAGGTCGACATGCCCAAGTCGAGTCGACGTAACTAGCTTGACTTATGGTCTGGTCGAGCTATCAACACATGGTCCCATCGACGCGAGTATGGCTATATCATTTTTTTTTTTTTTTTTTTTTTTAAGAGGATCAATAGTGGTTCCCGACTTACCCCCTTGGGTGACTCGAACTCGTGACCTATTGTTCCCAAGTGAAGGGTGCTACCAACTGAGCTACCCCTTCTCGTCTGGCTATATCATAGGTTGAGGTGGTATTGTGGTGAATAGGATTCCCAAACAAAAAATTAAGTTTGTCTAATACTCGAACTAACATGACCTGCTCCTTCGTAGCCCTAGTGCGACGCTGCCTCGCTGCTCCCAGAGATGACCCGTGACGTCGAGACCCAACGACTGCGGCTTCCTGTGACCCTGTGCGACCCGCAACATCCTCGCGCTAGGCGACGCAGACCCGTAGAGACCCGACGCTGTACACCCGCGAGATCCTCGCGACCCGCTCGACGCCAAGTGAATTGAGATGCGCATCCTCGCACCGTACGTGACCCGTCTGCTCCTGTCCTCACACAACGACCTGCGTAGTCCCATGAAGACCCGTACGGCTGCCAAACGGACTTTGTGATCAAACAAACTCCTCCAAAGGAAATCTACAACATCTCAGAGTCGACAAAAATAATAAACCATGAGTCTTATACTCTTACCTATAAATCAGCTACACATAGGTATTTTGTAGTTAAATTTGTAACTTGCACCACATTAGCACCGATCCTTATAGATCCCAACAATCCAAGCGAGAATACTCGACTCCCTTATTAAAGTTTGTCAACAAAAAAGAGTCCAAGTCCATATTGAAAGAAGTACATGAGGGGGTGTGTGGTAGTCATTCCGGCGGACATGGCCTACATTAAAGAAGGATGCATCCGACCTCGTTCGGAGATGCGAGAAGTGCCAAGTCTTCGCACTCTTTACTCAACCCTCGCAACCCCTGAAGTTGATTTTCAGCCCCTGGCCATTTGCAAAAAGGGTAAATAGATTTGATCGGACCTACGACGACCGAAAAAGGCAGGGTTAAATATGCAGTAGTGGCTGTTGACTACTTTACGAAATGGGCAGAGGCTGAACCGTTGGCCTCGATAACCGAACAAAAAGTGATCGACATTATATGGAAATTGATCACATGCTGATTTGGAATCCCGTATTCAATAATCACCGACAATGGGAGACAATTTGAAGGGAAGAAGATCGAGTCTTTCTGCGAAGAGATCGGCATTAAACATTATTATTCTTCCCCATATCTTCCACAGTCAAACAATCAAGTGGAAGTTGTGAATAATCATAAAAAAGGCCTTAAAACTAAGCTCATATATGTAAAAAAGGCCTGATATAAAGAACTTCCGAGCGTATTGTGGTCCTACCAAACTACAACCCGTTCATCCATGGGAAAAACCTCATTCTCCATGGCATACTGGTTGGAGGCCATGATGCCCATCGAGGTCGATTCTCCTACATATTGGGGGAAGAATTATGAAGAAGAAGCTAATTCGGAGTCTCGGAGGACCAACCTCGACCTCGAAGAGCTTCGTTCGAAAGTTGAGCTAAAAATGCCACATAAAAGAAAAAAAAGCTAAAGTTACATCAACGCCTGACTGAAACCTTAGACCTATTGTATTGGCAACCTCGTCCTTAAAAGAGTTATGGGTACTGACCCCGGGCCATTCAATCCAAAGTGGGAAGGACTTTCAAAATATATGAAGTTTTAGAACAATTAAATGACACCCCTCTTTCATACCCGGGGAACGCAATTTTTCTCAAAAAGTATTATCAATAAATAAATTGTAATATTTTCAAGGTTCAAGGATCTTCCTTATTTTAGATATATTGGTGAAAATGTGCTTTATATCAAAGCATTTTGTTTCCTAAATAGAAATACCTGTTGAATTTCTTAGTGTATATGTAGTCTATGTTACGAACTTCGACCAACTCAAAGATAAGTTCGGTAAAGCCCTAAGGGCCCAAAAATACTTTTCAGTACTTCGACCGAACTCAAAGATACGTTCGGTAAAGCCCTACGTGCCCAAAACTACTTTTCAGTACCCCAACTGAACTCAGAGACAAGTTCACCAAGGCCGTAAGAGCCCACCAAAATACCTTTTAGTGCCACAACCAAACTCAAATATTAGTTCGGAAACCTTCAGGGCATAACCTAGTACTAAGTAACTCAGTAGTAGTAATACTAATCTACTAATCAAAATTGAATAAAATTCAATTTCCGTCCTTTAAGGTCCTAGAAAAAATGAACTTTTAATAAGTGAGCTCTCAAAATACAAAAATCATTCATAAACACATTCATTCACCACCCAACACAAAAATACTTATTCAGAGCAAGAACATCACAGTACTCGTTCAAACACATCAAAAACAAAAGGACGAAATGAACATAAACATTTTTCAAAACACACCACATCCAATCAAAAACAAAGTACGTCTTAGCATAACAAAAGCAATAAAATTCAGGCAGATTTCTCGACTTTATGATCGGTGGTTTTCTTGAAACCTTGATCCCCAGTCGTTTTAGAACCTGGTTTGGCAGTCTGCTCTACCTTCGCGTTGACGGCCTGCCCGACACTAGGGTCAACGATCTGCAACAGTTTGCTCGACATCCTGTCTAGTGGTCTTGTCAATGTTCTGGTCAGCGGCGCCGTCGACATTCAAACCCTCTCTAACTTCAGTTGGTGATGCTTGCCCAGACTCGACGCCATGCTCAACCTCATCACCAGTCACTTTGGGGTTGACCTCATTGTCCGACAAATTACCATAGGGCATTCATTAAGAGTCAGACTTTTGACAACAACATTGACCGAAAGATCCTCACAAGGGTTCAGACTCTCAACGACCATATTCACGCCCATGTTGTAGCGACCACCAGTAATTATATCATGGTAATCGACCTCGTCCTGGTCGGGTTGTACCAAATTTGAGATCGTCGAGATTTCGATCACCACTCTCAATACCTTAGATGATCCAACTCATATTGAAGGTAGTGTTGGCTTCAATGTCGTCGACGTATTCCTCCGACTCTCATAACTCCACGTTCACCAGCTCTTGTTCTCGATTGTAATTTATCCCTTACCTTCTTGACCTACCCAGTCAAATCATCCACTCAGGCCTGCAACGCCTCCTTCTCCTTCCTCGGCGCCTCAAGCTTATTTCGATGCTCGACACGCTCGTGATCATATTTCTTCTGTAGGTCATCCTTGACATTCAGAGCCATGCCAAACTGCGTGTCAATCTTGAAGTTCTCCAACTTTAGCTTTGTGTTTTTGACATCGAGTTCGGTCGACTTGTGCTTGATCGCGGACTCATTCTTGATTTGATCCCTCAAGGAGGCTGCTCTTGCCTCACAAAGCTCGTTTTTGTCCTTCAATCGATTGAAATTAGACGCAATCCTTCGCACTCATCAGCAGAGATAGCCATATTGTCATAAGTCAGCCCTAATAGGCCATTGAATGCTCGGTGCCCTGGGCATTAGTCAGCCTCGATGTTGCTTGCTCAACCATGGGATCCCAACTCATCATTGGGACCCGAGCAGCCTCCATGACGTGATCAGAGAGGTGATAAGGATTGGGAAGTACTGGGGGCGTCGTAGACTCGTAGCAGATAAACCACTGATTCGAGAACTTGGAAAGCTTCCCCAAACGCTCAACCTTCGTCAGGTCAACAGGAAGATAATCGGTCACCCCCTCTTGATGGATAGAAGCATCCAACTCCTTCTTCAGGTCGCCCCCGACAACCCTAATGGCCTTCTTCTTGGCCTCTCCTTGGCTGGCTCCACTGGTTGGGGGTCGCTTCTTGCCTCGGGACCTAGTGGTCCCACCGATCCGTCCTACACGAGCCGACCTCGTGGGCACAGTCAAGGCCACGATGTGGCTGGCTGCAGCCGAGCCCTCTCCTACTCGGGCTGCAGGAGGTGCTTGGTCGCTTCCTTGGCCAGATTCTGACCTCTACCGCAGAAAAGCCATACGATTTATCTTTTTTATCTTTTTCTCAAGGTTCAGATGTGTGCGCTCGTACTTCTTGGCTTCTTTCACGGATGAAAATCAACGAAGACCAAACAGAAGATAATGCACTCTAAAGAGTGAAATTGAAATGAGAAATCAAGGAAATCATGTACCGAACCAAACAGTTCGGGAAATAAGAATAAAATAAACAAGACGAAATCTCGGAAGCGACAGAAAGGTAACTGACCTAGTTCAAAGTTGTAGTCTACGCAATTTGGGCTTAGCCCATATTTATGCAGGAGCTCGTCCTTATCTAAATCTTTCCAATATCGGTCGTCATATTTCTTCCCAACTAAAAGATCTAATTGGCCGACAAAAATCTGTCTGAGCTTGGTGTCCACTTCTCGACTTAAAACAGGAAAGGCCGACCTGTTAGCATAAAACAAAGAAAATTAGAAAGTGAATATGAACAAAGGAAAAAAACTTACATTTCCTTGTAAAAAATTTGGTCACAACAGACGACGCGTTGCCCCCATCTTCGATCGACCTTAACTGGACCTAGGGTTTACCAATCTCCGCTAACCTAAAACCACCCTTTTTGAAAACCATGTAATATGTCGGGAAGTTGGGTGACTAACTCTTTGTCAATACTCAGTCGGAGCGAGCAGTAAAATCAACCCAACTTCTTCCTGGTCTCCTTAAACGAAAAGGTGCCACTGATCTCTTCAGTGACCGGAGTCGGCCATCCCTCTCGGAGTAAGATGACTACTAGGCTGATCACCTTGGCCTAAGCGTTCGGCGTAATTTGACTAAAGCCAATACCGAGCTCCTTGACATATTTATTAATGATGTGGGTAGTGGGAATTTGAGTCCAGACACCATGTTTTGTTTGAATATCCCTATACAGACTGGCGACGGCTATGGATTCATTCCCCAGAGTAGGGTACGAACATTCGAACACTCGAGGGAACCTGAACTGATCCCCTCAGTTTAACGACATCGACGTCGGTCATTATGTTGGCCTTATTACCTTGGGCTAGATAGCTCATTTCTGGCCATACACAGGCCGGTCTCTGCCCAAAACAATCCACACAATGGAGACGGCCTCTGTTGACAAGTCCACTTCGACATCCCCTCTCACCAGAGAGACTCTCTCCCTACCTCGGGTGTCTCTCGAAGGGCCTCTTCAACCAATTTCCTGTCGACATCCTTATTGTAGCAAATAATATTTTTACCGAGTACTGGATAACTCCTTACCTCGGTTCGATCTCTCGAGGAATTGGAATTTAGAATCGATGTTGATCGCACACAAAAGCAAAATAAGACCTTAATACCCTAATTTAGGAAGGAGGTTTGAACTATTAGCTCAGAAGTATCAGAAAATGATCAAACACTGATAATGAAGCTAGGAAGGCGGGAATAATTTATTATGGTTCTAATACAAAACTGGGCGAATAATTGTTCATTTCAAGATTGACAATCTCGCTTAATCACCTAGCGGTTCACTCCCAATAACATTTAGTAACAAGGGATTGAATATAGATGACGAATTCAAGCATACACACCGGCCTTGGGTCCGATCCCATTAACTCTCGTAACAAGGGAACGGGCGTAGACGAGCATGTATTTCAATCCCAAAACTAATAGTCTATTCTTTTACAAAATTATCTATCATGCGAACCTAGGTTTACGACTTCTCCGCTTTCGGTTCTAAAAGCCACTTAATTAAATTAGAAGATGATTAATCGATTAATCGCTTAGGTTCAAAAACCCTAACTCGAAAGAACAATATTCAATTGGCATCAATTGCAAGATTGAAGTGTCATTCTTCAATTATATTCAACTTCCAAGCATGAATTCATCAATCCCTTTTCAAATCAACTCGCACGAAAACGAACAACTCAAGACGTGATAAATACGAACAAACAAGAACAATTATCCCATATCTCTAGCAATCGGATTTATCTTTTTATATTGAATCCAACACACATAAATATATGAACCCAAGCAATCAAATTCATCAACTAAATGAAAAGAAGTACTTACGATTAATATGAAATCAACTGACGAATCCAACTTACAAGCTTAATCGAAAAGAGAATCTTGGAGTGTAACTCTCTAAGATCAAACTAAGGTGAAGATTCAATGTTTTTGAGGTGAAAAATATATAAAGTATGTTCTGGAGGTGTTTTCCTAGGGTTGGTCGCGAGAGAGTCGCGGCGCAAGGCATGCTGCGCCGCGATGGACAGGGCAGCTGGCAGGCTCTGTCGGTCACGCCGCGACGGGCAGGGTTGTTATGCGCGACTTTATGTTTCGGGCTCATTTGAACTCGTCCGAATTGACTTCTGTTTTTTCCTAATCGTCGCCAACGAACCCTTCTAGTTAATTACGCTCGCAAGACCAATTTTTTCTTGAAATAAAATATGACCGAAGCTTCAGCCCTGTACACCAAAAATGACACGAACACGAAGAAAATCGAGAAACACAAACAAAAACACAGAAAAATCCAAAATAAAGAAAAACACTCAACAAACCACAAGACAAACTAAAAACCAAAGAAAATACCTAAAATGGAGGGGGGAGGGGGGAAGGCAAAACAAACACGAAAAACGCAACAAAAATGGGTCAAACAACTTCCTCACACTTAAACCTTTGTTTGTCCCAAACAAAAAGAAAGCAAGACACGAGCATAGGTAACTATTTCATATAAGAAGAGCCTCAAATTTTTCGACTCAACCAGGTCGAATTCCAACGAGCGTAAGATCATATGCCTCAATTATTAACTTGGCCTTGAAATGACAAACTCACAAACACGAAAAGATAAGTATATGCCTCACTCAGTCTCTTACATGAATATGTGATAGGTATGCTCAAATTGGTCAATATTCAAGTTTCAACATATACTTGTCTATCGTCTAATATTACTCGAAAACAATTAAGTTCAAGAACTTGCGAATCAAGTGGGCTTTACGAGTTGTAATGCAGGCTATTTGGTCAAGGTATATATATATATATATAGAATAAGATGCTCAAATAAACATACACAAATCTTGAGCAAATTGACTACTCAAAGGCTACGCTACCGATTCGAATCAACAAGACAACAAACTTACTGCCCAACCAAAACTCCACAAACAACACTTAGATGCTCAAATCAAGTTGTATCTCATCACTT